AGCGCAGCATACAGCCATGTTTTACATGACACGCATATCATGATTACCATGTTTAAACATGTCATTTACCTTCGTAGTCTATTCACGTCACGCGATACCAAATTCGGTATATATGAAGCTAGCGAAAGGGCCACGAGCGCATTATGAGCGTGGTGCGTTGTCATGTGTTCACGTGACACGCATGCTATCACTATCATGTTTACACCAGTAATGTACTTTCGTCATCCATTCACTTCCCGTAATGTGAAGCTAGGGAAACGACCGCGAGCGCACCATGAGCGTGGCGTGTAGTCATGACAAGTCATAAGATAAAAATCATGACGTGCATGTAATGATTTCCACGTTAGGGTCTGTCACTTATGTTTGCTAAGCAGTAATGTCATACCATACCAGTTTTTTGAAATCTCATGTGAACGAAACCACCGCAAGAGCAGCAAAACCATGAAATATAAATCATGACATTATTGACATACATGTCATGATTTTTATGTAATGGCTAGTCAAACATGTTCTTCATACAGTCATGTTATGGCATACCTGGTTTGGTATCGATACCATCATCGAAACGGCAAGGAGAGCTAAATAGATAGATAGATAGATAGATAGATAGATAGATAGATAGATAGATAGATAGATAGATAGATAGATAGATAGATAGATAGATAGATAGATAGATAGATAGATAGATAGATAGATAGATAGATAGATAGATAGATAGATAGATAGATAGATAGATAGATAGATAGATAGATAGATAGATAGATAGATAGATAGATAGATAGATAGATAGATAGATAGATAGATAGATAGATAGATAGATAGATAGATAGATAGATAGATAGATAGATAGATAGATAGATAGATAGATAGATAGATAGATAGATAGATAGATAGATAGATAGATAGATAGATAGATAGATAGATAGATAGATAGATAGATAGATAGATAGATAGATAGATAGATAGATAGATACGCTCGAAGTCGCCGAAGTTTGCTAAGAAATGCTTAGCATTTAAAAATTATTTATGTTGTGATCTACTGATCTGTGCTTGCGCGTGTTTCGCCTGCGCATTAGCGTAAGCACAACATTCGCGGACGCGAGGTTTTACTTCCTCGGAGCAAAATGGCGCAAACAAGGAAGGGGAAAGGCACACCAGGATCGTGCCCCCCCCCCCCCCCCCCTCCGTATTTGTTTGACATGGGATACAGGGGAAAAACTTACCATTACAACCCTCCAAAAAACATTTCTGCCTACGCCCTGTCACTGCATGAACGTCTACGCGACCCATAGACGTTCTTTGCGCCACATAATCGCATGTTTATTTAAGTGCTTTATACTAGCACTTGCTTCACAAGTTACTCGTTAGGCAATACCAATGCTTGTACTGTGCGTTTAATGAGGTATACTGTCGTACGCCCAGGACCTGCAATATGTGCTGACGCTTTACTCGTGTGACTTGCGCTAACCTGATTCAGTGAGATTCAATTTTTTTTTCATGGGGCATTTTTTTTTGCCCTAGTGTCAAGGATTTAAGTATAGTTACATATCTGGTTTGCAGGGCAGAAATTTTTTTGCAAAAAAAAATGTGGTGTACAGTATATCAATTTATAAAATGTGCTATATTCTTTGCTGGAAACCAGCGATGGTCGAGCGACAAATTTGGGACAGTTAGATAAAATAGCTTTACTCCGTTTCCCCAGCAAAGGTAAGAACTCTCGTCCAATCAGAGTTGTAGGAGCACGACAAATATATAGTCCCTCTACCACGCATATCGAATACGGTGGTGTTTTCGGGTTAGTCAAATAGCCTCGAACTTTCTTGAAGTGAAGCTTCGAGCCGAATGTGGGGCCAGTGCAAGTGTATATTCTCTGATCAACAGAGGAGAGAAACTTCAACAGGTGAGCAAAGTACGCTAATTGGTGGGAAACACAGACGGAGAACGCGAGCAGAGTCCTACCAGCGTTGCGCTTTCGCAAGAAATGCCGCGAGCATACAAAGAAGCTCAGTGATTTGGATTTCAGTGCGAAGGGTGGTGCTAGGGTTTTTCGGTGAAAAATGTAGGAAGGAAGTAACAGGAATAAAAGGAAAGACGGGGATATTAACCAGTCTATAAGAGGACTGGTACGCCACCTTACGCAGAGGAAAGGGGTGGGGGAGTGGTAAAGATAAAGATAGAGAAAGAGAGACAGTAGAGAGCACGCACACACTAAGTCAGACTCCACAATCATCATACCACCATAAGCCCACAATAACTGGCGCAAGTCTGGTGTCTTCAAGAAGCTGAGCACCGCCTATTTCACCTTCGCCAGCGATTACCTCTCAGGTCGACTTTCCAGAAAGGTTTCTGCCGTCATACCGATACCGATCGTGTCCACATCCGCAATTTAGAGGATATCGACGAGTATTGGCTGCAATTACAAGAAACGCCTTCGGAACGCATTTTCCAAATTAGCGATGCACATTTTGTAGTGTCACCGCCGGCACATGTGGTAGCTGCGATGTATTTAATTTGGGATGAGGGCGATGATATGTGAACGCATCTTAACCTGCTCATGGTAATTATTAAGTGGTGCGTACTGGTCCGGTAGTTTTAATACTAAGAGTAGCCACAATGAAAAAAACAGAATGTTCTTCTGTTATGCTGGAAAACTGAGTTTCCAATTGATTGAGCTATTGAAACGTTTAGTTATTAATTGAACTGTTGAATTAATTGATTCACTCATTGACTATTGTAAATCTCTTTGTATACACGTTTCGTGAACGTTAAAAAAGCTACGACGTGACAAGAACTCAAAGGAACAGGCGAGTCTTTTCAGGGCCGAAGTTTTTGCAGTCCGAAAAGTTTTACGTACGACTTTGGGTGCGGAAATTTTTTTTGTGAAATGTGTGTTAGAGAAGAGCTTTTTGCTTTAGCTAGATAATAGTGATTTTTTTTCTCAAATATGACTTAGAAGATTCACCAGCAAGGTTGCAACACTCACGTAGAATATGTATGAACCCAGTGAAAGCGTATTGTCGGTTGTTCGTAGTATTCCGTCGATGCGTAGCAATTATGGAATTAAATACAAAATAATTTTAGTAGACGAAACATCAGCTCGCTACCGTTTGTAGCTGAAACCGAAGCCACCATTAATAAAGAGAGGGCCGTGAGTAACGTGTCCAAAGAAGGGCAATAATATCCCCTCCCCGTCATAATTCATTTTATCTTTACCTCGTCATTACTACACTACATTTAGAATGTACTAACGACTAAAACCTCAATTCACGTGTGCTTTCAATCGAGTTGGTTCTCCATGATCAGCTTGAACTTGAATGTGCGTATTCAGGACGTGACAGTGACAACAGCTAAAATCTGCCGAGTGTGCAATAAAACCAGTGCATTGAACTATGTCAGGATAGCAATAATTTTTAGGGTTTTATCTCCCAGAACCGAAATATGATAACAAAGACGACGCAGTAGACGGCTCAGGTAGTATCGATGGCCCAGGGTTGTTTTTTTTTTCAATGCGCAAATAAATCTGAAGTACAGGAGCCTCTATTTTACAATACTCGTTGAAAAGCAGCCGACATGGCCGGCATTCAATCTCGCGACCTTAAGGTGAGCAGTACAGCACCACGACAACTACACCGCTGTGTCGGGTTACTATGTCGCTATAATTAGACCGGTTTTGCAAAGGGAGTTATAATGTGCGTAGGAGAACTTGACACGATGAGCTGTTTCTGCAGCAACGATCGGTCATTTTACAGTGGACGGTGGATCGCAAGTATTTCTTGAAATGTTTTAGGTCTTTATGTGCTCTTACATCTCTGTCTTAGTATAGTAGGGGTGAAATCTAATGTCATCTTCAGCTGGTGGCACCGGTGGCGTATTCTGTTCCCTCTTGCGGTGTCGTACGTTCGTCTGATGGAGCGTGACGCCATATCATCAGCACGCACGCTCTGGCAGACGACACGGCACAATCCATCTGTGCATGGCGTGATTCACATCTGGCCTTGCCGCAGAGCACGACCGGAGGGGAGAAAAAACGTGCGTGAAATTACATCCTGCGATTGTGCTAGCCCAAGGCAGGTAAAATTTCACTGGAGGCGGAAGGCAATGCCGAAGTTTCCTTAGTCGAGTTGGTGCAGCACAACCACCTGGTTAACAGACACGCACCCACTGGACACGAATATATATCTTCTCGCAAGTGTCTCTTATTGTTCGATTTTACCTCCTTTCCGCTCCTATTCCCAGTACATACAGCAAGCTGGAAATTGTCATCTGCTCAATGGCATCTCTATACCTTCTCGCAAATGGCGTAGCCTTCGCGGATTCGAGTTCTGAGGTTCACACGTTCGTCTGGCCCGTAGCGGGGCACAAAACTTGGACGGTGTTATACGTAACTACCCTTTCACAGCCATGTTGCCAGCGCAGCTAATCATGCTAACACTTCCGGCTTTTTACTCATCGTGCCACGAGATCACACGAAAAGTCCCTTATATAGGTGAGCTGTTGGCATCGGGTTATTGGTCCATGGCATCTCATGTAACCATGTTCAATAATAAAAAAAGCGTTTGACCTTATTGCTTATTGGCTTACAGCTCCTGCTTAGACACACTGTGACACATTCGCCCTGCCCTTTGATGAACAACGAAATGATCAATCAAACTTGCGAAACACCCGCGAAACAAGGACGTGATTGTCACATAGTGTATGACTTTATTGCTTGCTGGCATGCATTTCCTGATTGAAAACACCGTGACGCATTTGCCCTGCCCTTTGATGAACAACAGAATGATAAACCAAACTTGTGAAACACCCTCGAAACAAAAACGTGATAGTCACATGATGTATGATAAACTTCAAAATAAGATACGCGTTCTGCTGGCCTGTATCCCTATTTATAATCGCTGCACTCCATGTCCGAGCAAAACGACGCCATTGATTGGCCCTTTCGTTTACGCGCTGTTCCCTTTTGTAGCTTTCACTCTAATACAGCACGCGATCGACCACGAAGAATGGCAGACTATGGAGGTGAGCTTCCAGTTTTTGTGCTCCAAAATTTTTTTCATTATTATGTCGACTGTTTCTGGTAAAACTGAAGATTTCGTGTTTGTGTATCTTGTGTACAATGAAATATTATGTAGCAGATCTGTCACACTATCCTATAGCAAAGAATATGCGCACTGAACAGTGTGTCTAATGCCTTTATTTTTCATTGTTAAATTAGCTGCTGATATAACTTCAGCAACCGCAAATCTGCACATTGTAGAGGGTGACATATATGTGGGGTGACGAAAAGTTGCAAAACAGAAGATTCAATTACAATTGACATCACTGCATTTCCATCATTTGTACCTCTCCCTTTGCAGAGTAGCATGGCTTATGGTGTTAACATGAAATTTGTTTAGCGCTCATGGACAGTTACGTGTGATGACATTTTGATTGATTTTCGCTTCAACATGGCATCGCGTAATTAAGATAAACCAATGAAAAGGCTCCAATAATTTACCTAATGCAAAACCTTCACTTTAAAGTAGTTTCAAAGGGAAGAATACAGCAATGAAAGTTTGTGTTTTATTCAATAGTTACGAAGAAAAAACGAAATGAATAGATCTAGTAACACGCTGGGTTCATGAAAATTTTGAAAGATATTTTGTGTGAGAATAGCAGAGGACGATGTTTTATTATACTGACACTTCTGGACTTTCAGGTAGATGCGTACGGTGTGGTCCTAAACGGTCTCTAAGGAACGTAGCAATAAGTAGTTGTGTGGCCCTGCTCTTGAAAAGACAACCCTAGAACTTCAGTGCGCCAAACATTATCAGCTGCGGTGCGCTAACAGTGCATATTGTTATATAAAGAACAAAACGGTACTACGTGTAACAACTTATAAGGGGGCTATTCAGATCCCGCCCCTGCTCCATTTTAGGGGCGAAGCTCCTTAGGGCGTGGGCTGTGCGTCCCCTGTAGCCTGTATGTAGCCACCTCTAGTTTAGTTCTTGCAGTGTTCACTAGATGGCGGTACCGTCCCCTGTATGTAACCACCTCTAGTTTAGTTCTTACAGTGTTCACTAGATGGCGGTACCGTCTCCTGTATGTAGCCACCTCTCGTTTAGTTCTTGTAGTGCTTACTAGATGGTGGTACTTGTAGCTGATGATGACAAGATGCAAGATGTTATAAACTAGAAAGCGGTACTTGTAATTGATGAAAGACGCGAGATCTTATAAAATAGGAATGATGTCACATATCGCGCGTGTCATTGGTTGAAGGCAATCGTTCGATTTAGTGCGGCGACGTACGCTAGGGGGAGCGATGTAATAAAATCGAGTGGGCAAAATGTACAGAGGATTCATGGTTTACCAGGTTTACCTCCGGAGCTTCGCCCACTCATCATCATTAACTTCGTGGATATGGCGGAATTTTTTGGCTGTCCAAAGAAGCAATTTTGATTTACCGGAAACTTGCCCTTTCTACCCCCTCCTTTCATACTCCTATGCACCCCCATGCAATCTAATTTCGGGGGCTTTAGTATACCTTCCATTGCCTCAAAAGTGATATTTTCATGCTAATGGCTGGTGCAGTTGAATTGCATTTAATCAGTGAATGACATGTATTGACACGCTTTGTTGCATGACAAGCTGCATTATTAAATGCCATCTCTAGCCTATGCTTATATTGTGGACTTAAAGGAAACTTAAGGCAAATATTAAGCCAAATTTTATTGCTGAAACGGCAGTCCAGACACCTCGTAGTGCTACTTTTGTGCTAAGGAAGTGTTCACTTTGAAATAAAATGATGGTTTATAGGTCCGCATCGTGTAAGCGCACTGCAAGTCTCCCGCCTGAAAGCGACCCATTTCTGTATCCATCTCCCTATATGTAACTCCCCACCCAATTACGCTCAATAAACTGAAACTGAAACTGAAACGTCACTGTTGCGTCCCCTACGTTGCCCGGCTTTACTGCGCGGCCACCGACACTAGTAGCAGCAAAGCGAAAGTTGCGGGAGCCACAGCAGCAACAACGGCAATTGAACAATTTTATACCCTCTCGGGGGCCATTTGCTTGGTTCAACTGGGCTCCGCTAGATGGCGCCACCTATCCAGCTTAACCAGAGAAAAAATCCCTTGTACAGAAATTGGTAGAGGCAAAAATTAAAGGTGAAAGTGAACGCTGGATGACAGAGATACACGAAAAAAAGGAGGCCGCGCCTAGGATTTTTTGGAGCCACATAAAGGCGCTAGGTAGGAAGTCTGTCACAACGCAACAACATATTCTAGATGAAGGAGGAAATCAATTGGAAGGGTACGAAGCGCTAGGTTACATCCAAAAGGTAACAGCCGATTCGTTTCAAAAGAGCGTCCAGGGGATCTCCCCGGTGAGTAAAAGTGTGGCGGAGAAAGCAACAGAGGAAGAGCTAGTACTTGATAATTTCAACTGGAAAAAGGCCGAAGGAAAAATTCCAAAGCGCACTGCCGCGGGTTTAGATGGGATTCCCGTTAGCCTCATTAACGAACTAGGACATAACACTAAAGAAGCATTGTTAAAAGCAGTAGAAAAAAGCTTAAAGGACGGACAAATACCGGACAGTTGGCGACAAAGTAGAATGAACTTAATCTATAAAGGCAAGGGAGAAAAGGACAAGATTCGCTCGTATAGACCACTAACCATTACATCGGTGCTATACAGGTTGGCGATGCAAGCAGTAAAAATGAAAATAGAAACATGGGCCGAACATAACGATATTTTGGGAGAACTTCAGGACGGATTTCGAGTCGACAGGCGGTTAGACGATAACCTGTTTGTTCTCACTCAGTGTATAGAAATATCTAAAATAGAGAATAGGCCCTTGTACGTGGCTTTTCTAGACATCACTGGGGCATACGACAACGTTAATCAGGAAATTTTGTGGGATATATTGAAAGGAATGGGCATGGGCGACGACTGTATACAGCTTTTGAGGGAGATATACCGAGAAAATACAGTTTGCATAGAGTGGGAAGGAATGCGTAGCAAAGAAAACGTTGAGGTTAGCAGGGGTCTGAGACAGGGATGTCCTTTGTCCCCACTGTTATTCATGCTGTACATGGTGAATATGGAAAAAGCGCTAGAAGGTAGCAACATTGGTTTTAATCTGTCACACAAACAGGGCGGCATGATGATTGAGCAGAAGCTTCCAGGTTTATTTTATGCGGACGATATCGTCTTATTTGCGGACAGTCGAGATGATATACAGCAGCTGGCGAATATATGCGGAAGGGAAGGTGAAGCTCTTGGACTAGGATTCAGTGTAACGAAGTGTGGATTGATGGTATTCAATGATCCCTGTGATCAGACGGTGTCCATACAAGGCCAAGAAATACCGAGGGTAAGTGAATACAAGTACCTTGGAGTATGGGTAAATGAGAGTGATAGATACATGGAGGTACAGGAAAAAGCCTCGGCAGCAAAAGGAAAGAGGAATGCGGCAATAATGAAGCACAGAGCGTTGTGGGGATACAATAGGTATGAGGTGCTTCGAGGTCTGTGGAAGGGTGTAATGGTTCCAGGGCTTACTTTTGGGAACTCAGTGGTGTGCATGAGGGCAGAGGTGCAATCGGGAATGGATGTAAATCAAAGGACTGTGGGACGCCTCGCGTTGGGTGCTCACGGGAAGACGACAAACGAGGCTGTAAAGGGCGATATGGGGTGGGCAGGTTTTGAGGCGAGGGAAGCGCAGAGCAAAATAAGGTTCGAAGAAAGGCTAAGAAATATGAAGGAGAGTAGATGGGCAGAGAAGGTGTTCCGTTATTTGTATAGGAAGAGCGTGGACACACAGTGGAGAAAAAGAACTAGAAGACTCACTAGTAAATATACGGCTGGTATTGTGAGCCATATGTCAACAAAGAGCGTTAAGGGAAAAGTCAGGGAGGCGGAGAGGATTTACTGGATGGCAGCTATGGAGAAAAAACCGGCTCTGAGTAACTACCGAAAGGGCAAAAATGAAATAAGGAGGGAGGCATTTTACGATAATTCAAGGGGAAGCGCTTTACTGTTTGAAGCGAGATCGGGTTGCCTTAGAACGCGTAGTTATAAAGCAAGATTCAGTAAAGAAGAAGAACAATGCACATGCTGCGGGAAAGATAAGGAAACGGCGGAGCATGTTCTGATTGAATGTGGAGATATCCACCCAGGTGTACGTTTGGGCACGAGCCTACAGGAAGCCTTGGGTTTTAGGGACAACAATGGAAAGCTGAACACACCCGCGATTGAAATAAGTAAGAGACAGTTAGAGTATTGGTGGCAGAAAATTAGAGAGAAAGGACAGAAATAAATATTGGAAAAATAAAATATGGACAGTGTGCCGTAAATGGCAGAGAACTTAAGCTGAAAATTTACCTTTTTTTCCATTAAGATAGAATTTATCGAAGTAGAGGCATTAGGCCAACATAAAAAAAAGGAAAAAAAAGGTTTTTTTTTTTTTTTTTTGTCGAGCCTGGTGGCATACTTGTCACCACCCCGTTATAAAGGGGACGCTCATAGCATCCATCCATCCATCCAACCAGGCGAAATGGAATCACTCGAGCCATTCCCCGTAGTTACGCCAGGTGGTTTTTTAAGATTTTGTAAGTCAAACAGAAGCGGACAAACGGCATTTTATTGGGTCTCTTGATGCACGGAAAGTTATTTTTCATAGCAGCTAGTTTGATGACTAGTGATTACTTGTAGTCGGACACTCTGACGTCATCGAGATCGTTTCAATTAGTTTATTCTACCCACAGGGCCAAACAAGGCAGTACAGAGGTGAATGGTTTACAATAAAAAGTCTGTACATTATAGGTAAAGCATAAATGGGGATGTAGTACAAATAACAAAATAACATTACCAGAAATTCCTTACAAAGCATACAATGAAGGTAAGGTATACAATGAATACAAACATACAAAACGCAAGAAAAGCAGACATGAAGCATAAAGGGGTGAATAAATGGCATTCTAGTTAGCAATGCTCCTGTAATGTAATACGAAAAAAAGAGTTATTACTAATATATA